AGACATGCTCTGCCTGGCTTTGGCCACAGAGCGCTTGCCCCTCAGCTGGGGATATTGCCCAGCCCTCCTTAGCGCTCAGAGACACTAACGGAAGGGGTGCTTCACAGAGGGCTTTGCAGTACACCTTGAGGACCTACCAGCTCCTCTAAAGCCGCAGATACTGCTGTGACCTCTGCGGTGAGTGCCGAGTTAAGATCTTTCTATCTGCCTGGTTTGTATGGAAGCAGACAAAAGCTGCACGCGGTCTTTCCCCCCCGCGGGCTTAAACGTGTGTATACCCACCCTGCCAGACCAGCTGGGGAGCTTGCTCTGTGCGCACAGGCGTGGGGGCGACTGGTCTGCAGGCTCCAGCCATGCGTCTTCCTACAAAATGAGCTTGCTGGACTTTAGAGGTCTCCGAGGAATAAGAGCGGCCACAGCAGACGTCAGCCCAGGTCCTAGCAGCAACGGCTTGTGCTGAAGAGAAGGGCCCACACTCATGGGACACTCAACAGGATACTCGGGGTCGGGCCCGAGCCACTCCGCGGCCTTTGCTCGGGCCTGATTCCCACGGGCTCCCAAGGCAATTCTGCCGGAGTGAGGCCGGCGGGCTCGGGGCCTGTGCGTGGCGCCCCTGGGGCGGGGGTATAACAAGTGCTGGGGGGGGGGGGGCGGGCTGGCTCCGGACTCCGCTGCTTGCATTGAAAACACAAACCCCCCTTGAACCACGTGTCGCCTCCGAGCCATCAATCTGCTCCACTGTCAAAAAGAAACTAGAGCCGCTCCTCCCTCTGCTCGGGGCTAGCGGGGCCGGCAGGGAGCTGCGGCGCCCAGCCCCAGGGCAGGAGAGGAGGTTGGGACCGGGCCAAAGCCGGCTCTCGGCTTGTTTCTTGCCGAAGGGGGAGGCGGCCCTGGGGGTGCGGGCTGCAAGCGAAGGGCATGCCGGGTTCACCCGCCCCAGGAGAGGGGCGCAGGGAGGTGAATCTGCCCCTGCCGGAGATCCGCGCAAGGCGGCGGCTTTCCCCCTTCTCTCTTCTCCCCCCCCCGCCCCGCCCCAGGTCAGCGGCTAAGGCCGGAGCCCGGCCGGGCGCTGCTTCGGAGCTGTCAGTGCGGCTCCGGGGCGCGTGTTCAGCCGGTCCGGCCTCCAGGGCACCAAACCCACTGCCTGTCCCGCGCCGCGCGAGTCCCCGGGCAGCGCCCCAAGCTAGGCGGGGAGGCTGCCCGGACCCAGCCCTGCGCGTCTCCCGGAGCGGCCGACGGGGGTCGCCGAGCCCGATTCTGGTCCAGGGCTCCCTGCAGCCCGAAGACGCCCCTGCCCAGCGGAGCCTGTGGCCTTTAGGGGGCAGAGACTCCGGCGCTGCCGTCTGCGCTGGGCTCGGGAGGCTCCTGGCGTCCTGCCGGTAGAGCGGGGCGCTCAAAGACTCCCGCGGCTGGTCGGCTCGCGGAAGGGTGGGAACCGGCCGGGCAGCGCAGGCTAGCACCTAGGCACAACGCTTACTTTAACGGCGGGGCCCAATTCATGCTGCTGCCTGGGGGGGGGGGGGAGATGTAAAGAGATTCACAAAGGACCCGATCCCACAAGCCTCGCTCAGTCAAAAGCCCAGTGGACCGCGGGATGGGGCCCAAACGCCAGGTCTGAGCCAAGGCGCATTTAGCTGTGGGGTCTTACAAGAGGCGCCTATTATGATGCTTTAAATGGTCCAGCTTTAATGCTGGAGAAACCCCTTTAGTTGGAGCTAAAGCGGTTGCCAGACACTGCTCCCATCCAAGTGGCTTTCTTTAAAGTGATCAGGAACTGAATCATCGCAGGGAAAACTTAAGGACTCCCAGCGTTTGGAAACGGGTTTTCTTTTCTTTTCTTTTTTTCTGGCTGCCTGGCAAGTAAAGAAGGGCCCTGCTTGGCTTTTCTGTGTAGCCCATTGCATTTGCTCAGACTGCAAAACAGCAGCTGAGAAGCAGAAAGAATGTCTCATTCATTTAAAAAAAAAACTAACAATGAAACTCGCCTGGACTCTTAAGGCCCTTGAATACTCACAGAGCCCAGTTGCAAAAACCCTGCTGATCGTGTCCTCCTCACGAAGCACTCACTGTACGGCTGTGGGAGCATCTTTCTCCCGCCCGCAGGTTTGATGCGTCTAGTCCTTTCCTCCCTAACCACTTATGAATTGTCCAAACCAAAATTTTAAATATTTTGTCAAATAATCGGTGTCCTCTAAATAAAAATCACCGATTAGCTGGAAAGACAGAGCTGTTAGCTTTCACTACCCACGGTTTCCGATAAAGATAGCACCAAAAAGAAATAAAATAAATCCTATTTCTACCGTTCTACTAGTAAGGTCAAAAAGTTGGCCCTGTAGGCTTCTGCCTTTGGGATGGTGTCAAGATAACAGTGGGCGTTAAGCTACTAAGTGCCTACGTGAATCTAACAGATGCTTACCACTTACTGTTGGAAAAACAACGTCTTATACTGCAACTCTCTCCCCAGAAGGCAGCTGTTAAATACTTAGTTTGGTAGCTGCTTGTAGGATGTTTCCGATTTTATATATAAAAGAAAGAGTTAATACACTCTCCCTCCCTCCTTCGGAATACAGATACGTTGGAAAGATGTTGCTTCTTTCTTTTGGTATGTGCCAGGGACACATTTTAAGTTTTGCAACTTGTGTTGCGCTCCCCGTTTAGTGGTCAGGAAATGTGGTATTTGGTGCATTCACAGCCGAGCTTTTCTGAACAGGTGTGTGAAGATGAATTTATACATACGTATTGGACATAACTTTTCCTCCCGCTCATCCCATCCTGGAAATCTGGGCTCCTCTTTCTTTCACGGTCCAGTGTGATTTTCCCTTCTGTGCCCGAACCAGTGGCACCCTTCGCCCCCCACCCCTCCTGGCTCGGCTAAGGGAACTCACATTCGCTTACTCTACTTTAATGGAATATTTTTCATGGACTGGGAGAATGGCCACAATAAACCGCGGAAGGAACTTCCTAGTCCTTGGCAAGCCAAACCTGAGCAAGCTCCTTCCCCCAGGGGCCTGCTTTTTCCAGCACTGTGCTCTGCACGTTCAGCAGCAGCAAATTTGGAAAAAAAGAAAAGGCACAAAAAGCGATGAACAATTGCAAAGCGGTGATTTACAAAACAATAATCATAGACTTGGAGAAAGTGGTGTCTTTGTCTCTGTCCCCTCGCTCCCCCCCCCCCCCCCAGATGCGCAGAGTTCTTAGTTCTTCCAAAATAAGCTCTAAAAGCCAGTTAGCAAAGCCTGACTCAGATCACAAGTTCAGATCCTCGAACCTCTTTGCTTCGGGTGTACATTTACAAAGGATTTAAAATATTAGTAACAAATCAGAGCCAGACAGTTTTGCAGAGGAAGCAACAATTGGTAGGTGGCTGAGACTGTTCTTTGGGCTTTTCAGCTTCTCATTTAAGGCAGCTACTTTTGAAAAACTAACCTCCAGCCCAGGCAAGGAGCTTGAATCTGCCAGGGGGTTATTTCTGCAAACCGCTCTGCTCCCAATGACTTTGGGGCCCTAAGCCCACACGCGGCGGGCCTCAAAGGCTGGTGGTAGGACTAAGGCCCGACCCTGCATTCCTTGGTGCTGGCTTCGGGGAGCACAGGGCGGGGGGTTAGTTCCCTCGCGTGTTTCATCTGGTGCATTAGGGTTTAATGAAACGAAACGCAAAAACCAAGCCAATAACTCCGCCAGCGATTAAAAGGGAAGGTGAACTGCTGCTATTTCTCACACACCATGAAAGCACTGGCCAGGGTAAGCGCTCGGGGCAAGCTCTTACCGCCCCAGCCTCCAAACGGGCAGTGCATTAGCTATATAGCCAGGGTTACACCCCGATTCCACCCCTTGCTTTCTACTCGAGCTCCTGTCATCGGCGGGGTTCGCTCTGATTTCCAATACAGCGGGTCACTATGAGAGGAGCCGCTCCGGACCGGACGGAGCAAAGGAGCCGACTGAATCTCTTGCTTTGGAGCTCAGTTGGGACGCGAGCCCCTTGAAAACGTTCCCAGTCCCCACCCCGTGACACCGCAGCGCGAAGTTACCCTGCAACACTTGGGCGAGCTTCTAACTCCAACCTCTTCTCTCCCCTCCCACCCCAAATAAACCCTCGAAATATTACTGGGCCCGGCTGCGATTTAAAAACAAACCCACAAGCCACGCGCTAAAACAGCTTTGCTTCTAGAACAACAAATTACTCCTCTCCCCCCCCCCCCCCCACACTGGGATTGACTTCAGTTAGCATCACGGAACAACCCCCTTTTGCTGAGATGGGACCCCAACTACCCCAGCGGGGTTAAAATCCCTACTTATTGTGAACTATATGGGGGTGAGATGGAAAAAGTAAAATGAAACAAAAAAAATCGGGGGGAAACGCGCCAAAGGAGAAGCTTGTTAAATAATTTATTGATTTATACAAAGTCTTTCCAACCGGCGTGGAGGGAATAGTTTTAATCCAATTTAAACTCAAGTGTCCAGTTTTGTCTGTCTTTTTGGTTGTTTTTTGATGTTATAGAGCATAAAATCCGTAGCGAGGAAGAAACTAAAACTGCCAAAACGCTCAATGAGAGGGGAGGGGTGAAATAAAAGAGCCATTTTTACACTAGAAATATACATCACAAAAATCTGAAATTTCCTATATACAAAGTGGCTGAGCTGCAGTCGGTGATCCATACAAAACAGTAACAAAATCTGATTGTTAGGAGCAGGAAATTGGCAAGAAAGAGGGGAGGTGAGGGAGGAGAAAGTTAAAAAAAAAAAAAAACACAACCCAAAACAAATAAAGGAACGTTGGAAAGATTCCTCTGCAATTTACATCAATGAGAAGAAAGATAATTTCATAACTTATTCTGTAAAAAATATATACATTTCACATACATCTTAGGCTGTACAACACATCACTTTTAAACATCCAGTTACAATTCTTCTTTATAATGTTTTATACCCTGGTTATTTCAGCTTTTATAAAGCGCCTTAGGGAGCAGACAGTCTTGTTCGCTAGGGTCTCTTGCCCTTTATCACAAAGTATCCGAGTTGTTACTGCAGGGGCTGATGAGGGCTAAATTTGTGGATTTGTGCTTTTTCAATAACCTCGTGATTTTTTCATCGTCTGAGTTGGGGTCCAGAGGTTTGTTATATTCATCATCGTCCTCATTATCTGAGCTCTCCTTCAGCTTCTCCGTCTCTGAATCGTGTTTTTTCTTAGCTGAGGCCATTTCTGCTGCGTGCCTCTTTCTCCATTTCGTCCTTCTGTTCTGGAACCACACCTGTTGGAGACCCGGTAGAAGAGGGGGGGGGGAAACCCTTAGCTGTAACTCTCCTTCCAACACCCCATCCTCCTGCAGATTTGAAACCCTCCCTCCATACACACATAGAGCGCCCTTCAGAAAACTTGGTTTCACTTTCCCTCTGGAATATTGCTTGCCCTTGGCTGTTCCTGTTTAAACAGTAAAGTTGGGTGCCTATCGCCGTGTCTAGGCCTTTAACATCACTGGTTCCGTCTCACAAGACAGCAGGATCGTTTATGTACTATTAAAAATTCAGTGACTTTATATGAAAGGAGATCAACACTTTTGACTCTCAAACAATAACATAAAGGCCAAACACTGTATATAAAAGTATTAAAAACTGGCTAGACTGCAACAGGATAACTGTAGAGAAATGTGTATGTTTGTGTAAAGTAATTGCACCTGCCTCTGTATAACACAGCTCATTCAAATTGAATCTTTATGGTTTAACAATGTCAGGCGAAGGAATATAGCGTCCTATTCCTAACTTCCCTTTTGTTACAATGAACCCAAAATTAATTGTTGTTCAAATGGAATTTTGGTAGCATTGGAGAATAATATTCTTTTGAAAAGCGAATGGCCAAGAAAATAGTTCACGGTCAAATTACATATAACCCAGCATGCAATAGTCCAACATTGCCAAAATATTTCCCAATATTATTGTGTTTAAACAAAATGTACACATATCTAATATCCCACACGGAACTCATTGGAATAGTGAGAAATGTGAAACCATTTCACTTGAGTAGTTTGTAACTGATTTGCAAAGCTAAGGACTCTGTATATTTAAGACAATGCAAAAGAAGTTTAAAAACACAAAGGTAAAATCTATTACATATAAAAAATATTATTTTAATTATAAATAACCTAGAAGTGTTTTTTATATTTTTGCATCATATGGAATTAAACCAATTGTGAAAAGCTATAATTGTGTTGTCCAGAAAATAAAATATTACTCTTGCAATTAAAGTAAATCAGAACTTTAGGTTATGTCTCCTGTCATAATTGTAATACTCCCACAGGGTCTGTTAATTCAGTAAATTGTGAGCTGAAGAAGCAGTTATACTTCAGTTACGTGCCAGTTTCATCTTTCAACATCTGTGACTCCATTAATAAAATAATCTTTACTCAGAGACGATTCTGGTGTGTAAAACGGGGCTTCTTACCTTAACTTGACTTTCTGTCATTCCTAACGAATAGGCCAGACGAGCTCTCTCAGGTCCTGCCAAGTATTTAGTTTGTTCAAATGTTTTCTCCAAAGCAAAAATCTGCTGCCCTGAGAAAGTTGGTCTTGAGTGTTTCTTCTTTCCATCTTTGTCCAGAACCATTCCAGCCTGGGCTGCAAACAGAAGAAAATATCCCCGTCAATTACTAGAGACTACATCTAATCTCCGTGCCAGAATCTGATCTCCAATATAAAACTAGAAAAATCCCCTTGGTTTCAATTACGTTACTCCGGATTTCAACCAGTGTAACCGGGAGCAGGATTTTGCCCTGTAATATTTAGCAGACCACGAAACTGCTGAAACGGCATTTAAATGATAATGAGACATGTTGTGATGAAGTTAGGCTACAGTTTTTATCTTATTACTATGAACAGTATGGGATTATGATACTGTTTCATGTATTGCAATTCTGAGTGCAACATGCCCCTGTGTTTTTAAGTCTCTACTGCTCAGTATCACAGAGAGGTTTACATCTTTATCCACCCGTTGTTGTCAATGGTATTTCCCACCTCCACCACCAGATTAGATAGTTATTATAGCTCCATATATTTGCCTTTGTATCTAAGGAATCGAGAAAGATCCTGACTCTAAAAGGGACCTCTACAATCTCCTGGTGCAGCCAGACAGTAGAAAACACTACCGGGTGAGGGGGCGGATTTCAAAATTTCCTTAACCAAAGAGGCCTTAATAAAAAGTCTGATTTCACGACAGAAAAAAAAATCCAAAAACAAACTCTCTCTCACACAAATATATTGGATCCTTCAACGTCCCCCCCCATCACGTCCTGCCCCCTTCTAGGATCAGATGCACCCTCACTTACCAGGACAGGCGATTCTCGGATCTCTCCAGGGAGATCCCTGCATAACTCCCGGCCAGAAAATGGGAGGTCGCCCAGGCAGCTCTGCCAAGGGCTTTGGGTACCTGGACACAGCTGCGGGGTTAAAATACATCCCTGCTGAGGCAGCCAGTCCATTAATCCGGGGCAGCCCGGTGAGGAGATTGCTGGTGGTTCCAACAGGTCTCCCCAGGATGTCGCTTATTCCGTGCGGCGTCCCTAAGGGGATCTGTGTGTTCAGTCCGCCCAGGGCTGGTGCTTTGAAGCTGGAGGGATTCTGCAGGGTGTAGGGGAATAGAGACGTCTTCATTTCAGCCATGTTATGCAGAGCAGCCAGCGGTGTACTGCTCAGAACAAATGCACTCTGGCGATTAGTATCCATCTGCCCCACAGCTAACATTTGTGATCATCAATAAATCTATATATAGATATATAAAAAAGCCAGCTGTTTTATTCTTAACCCACACGAGCAGCGCCAGCCACGGGCTCGTTAGTCTTAAAAAAAAATCAAAATACCGGTGAGTAACAAAGTTTTGTGCTAAGTAGCAAGCGATCGCCTCGGCTCTGCCAGGACCTGCAGCTGCAGCAATGCACACTGTAAAGTTTCAGTCAGGAGGAAAACAAAAATGAGGCAGGAAAATATTGCAAAGGAGAGGGAGGCAAAGTCTCGGTCAAAACAGACCGCAGCTGGCAGTGTCCCTGGACGACTTTGATTGCTGAGCCCCGATTGAAAATCCACTAGGAAATCAGAGGATTCGGAAGGGTGGGTGGTTTTGATGATTTTTTTTTTTTTTTGGTAGTTACAGGCGAGTTCCTTCCCTGTGAAATTGACTCAGAGCTGAGACCAGAGCTGTACAAGATGCACAGATAACCGCACAGCCACCTGCAAGACGCGTTCTCTGATTGGATGAACCCCCTTCAGGGGCAGCTCGGATTGGCCAATGGATTGGCACGCTGGTCCTCCACTTTGCATCAACGTCATTCGGGAAAAGAGCAACACTAAATGAAGATTTTATTATAAAGTCAAGGTACTTTAAATGGCTGTAAATTTACCCACTGATTTATCTTTCAAACGACTAAATAAATCCAATTGAATGGGAGTTTAGTTAGGCTAAAGCTTTAGAAGGGAATCAGAAAAAAATATGAGCACACATATTATCAGATCGAAATAATGCAGATTTTGAGATCAAATTAGTAATGCATTAGTTTAACCCTGATTCATAGAAAACCAACTAACCACAACAGCAAATTACAACTTCGTTAGTTTTATTTTTCTGTTGTTTTTTTCTCTGTTCAAAATATTTAGTTAAGTCATGGGAACCTAAATATAAGTGCTAATAAAAAGTATCACACCATGTATCTGAGCATTAGATTTGCCTTTTCCCCTTGATGCTCAGACTAAACAATACTCCAGGCTGTTTACATTTGTCACACAGACTGTTAATTCTAACTGTTCGGTACAGTCTATGCTATAGAAGGATCGCTCACAAATGTGCAGCGGATTGTGCCCAGCGTTCTCTTTGATATAAAATGTAGATATTATCTCTACAGCACTAGTGCCCCGTAACCTAGAACGCGCTTCTTAGTTGTCAATCGTATCTGTACAAAGGTTTTTAAAGCAGAAGAGCCAGACTTTTGACTAACCGAGCAAGGCTGGTTTGGGAGTGAAATACGCTCTTGTGGTTCTTTTGTCGTTTACAGTTTGGGCCGATTGTAACTCACGGGCAGCTATGCCGGTTCAATGTGGGCTTTTGAATGCTGTTTCCCTGATAATTAGTTTTCAATGCACCACTCTCTATTTAACTGATAATTAGTTCTCTATACTCTCTAAAGTGCTCAGTATATATTAGATTTGAATTCTGACAGTATTTTTAAAGTATTATAGTTTAAGATTAAGTTTGATAGCACGTACTGCCATCGGGGTTTAAATAGAATTCTCCACTGAAATCAGTGGGGACGTCTGCTTAAAAACTGGTGGCTGCATGTGGTCTGGTGTTCAAACTGAAAGAATGTCTCTTAAATAATAAACGTGCTTTATACGTGAACTCGCGGTATTTTAAAGTGCATTTGCAGAAATATAAACCTTGTCAAAGATTGTTTCCTAATCGAAAACATTCTTAGTTGTTAGGAACATGAAAAAATGAGTAGGTGCCAATGCCATATTGTTGGAAAATACATCTGGAGGGATTTTTTTAAAGGGGTGCTTTCTTAGTTTATTTTTGAAGGACTTTTCATGTAAATTGTGGATACATTATTAGCAAAGGAAAATAGTATGAACTATAGCTAACAGGGAAGTGAACCGTTCTAAAGTTTTTTAAAAGATACCTATGAATTTCCAAATGAAGCAAGTGATAATTAATATTAAATAAATTTAAACATATAAATTTAAATATACATAATATTAAATGTATACTTTAATTTATTAAACGTATTAAATACAGTAATTAAATGTATGATCAGGACATATAACAGTTGAAGAGTAGTTGTTTGTCTTGAAATTGCTACCTTGATTACATTAAAATACATTTCTGGAATTAAAAACTTCGACTAGACCAATTATCTTTATTTTAGCCACTCTGACGTTGTGTTCTCACTATCTGTCCATCCTGTTATGCACACCATTGTACATAATATTTGCAAGGAGCTGAAAAAAGCAATGAAATTGTTTGTTGAGGCCTCTTTAGAGTGTCATCAGCTTTGTATCCCAGGCCATATGTTTTATAAATACTATAATTAGAATTTGTATTTAAAAAGAGACGGTGAATGTCATCTTCTTTCAGCTCTTTGAATTGGGTACAACTACATTTTAGGTTCAGGCTTTGCTGTTCGGTGCTTAAAGGATAGTACAGAGGAAATTTATATTCATACAGCATCATGCACTGCAAATTCATATCTAAGCTGTAAAGATTCCTAAATCCGCTTTACAATGTCCCGGGTTTGATTCCCATTGAGAATGAGTTGATCATTTTTTCCTTCCGCTGTTTGGGTATGCTAAAGAGCTTCCAGGTGAGCTAAGCCGGTTTATTCTTCTTTTTGACTTTTCCGAAAAGTGACTGGTTAAGTGTTTGTCTTCTTAAAGGAGAGAATCCTTTACAGTTTTCTTTTTCCCTTTACCTGTCCGGTGGGTTTCGCTCTCTCTCTGATATTTCTATTTGCACGTTAGATTGTTTCCCTTGTAGTGATGTGTGATTTTATCTTGTCTTCCTGTCCCTCCCTTCGCCCCCACCCCACACTAGTATTTAAATAATCATACATGTGAGAGAACAATCTGGCTTCAGTTTGCTACTCAACCATAGTGACTGCCGGATACTTTGATACGGGCAGAATTTAGTATCCCCAGGGTTTAGGTGATTTGTGGAGATGAAAGTCACTTGAGCCATTGCAGAAATATATTTCCAGTATTTAGCAGTGCAGGGGGACCTGAAATGATAGGCGAGTGGTGCTATTCGCCTGGAGTGAACCGATATTTCCCCCTCTATGAATATCGATTTTTCATTCATTGACCATTTCAGTTCCAGCAAAATATAGAAAAGCCGCCCCACGGGTGATGGGAATCGTGCTTTAATTAAAATAATAGATACAGGCAAAAAACTATAATTCCCTGGGGAGCAGAGAGCACCGCCAGGTCTCCCGGGTTTATTTTAATTACACAGGACAGATTAACAAAGGAAACATCTCACTTGCTTTTCTAGTTGTTGGGGGAGAAACTGACACCTAAGTGCGCTCCAATTCCGAGTCCCTTCGCACTTTGCAGGGATCTCATCGCTTAAAGGGAAACAAGCGCTGGTGACCATCCATCCTCTCCCACCGATCTGAACCTGCCCTTTAGAACATCACCCAGGAGCTCAGCCCAGCGCAGGGGGTGTTGAGAATGTGCGCTCATGACTGGTCTTCGTGCTGAGACTCACCTGGCCTTGGCCAGTTGGCCTTCTGTTCCAGGCGCTTGGAGCAGAGCGAAGCATTTTCTTGTTAAAGTGGAAGGAAGGGGGAGAGCCCTGTTCCCACTTCCCTTTGCAATTTGCTTGCTCCACTGAGGATTCGCACTTGCTTTGTGCCGTAGTTTGGATCATTCTGTTTAAAGATCACCCCCATGTCCTCGTTTATCCCAGATGATCGAAGCCCAGGGGCGTTTGATAGGGTCCCCATGTGCACTATAGAGCAGTCAATAGGGACAGAATTTTATTCCCCCCCACCCCCGGGTAGATTATAGAAAGAATTGCCGCGTTCACATTAATCCCCGCATGTTCCTTTGTATTTCTCCTCGTTACAAAGTTCCCTGGAGCATGTTTAATTCAGAGGAAGGTGCAATAAAAGTGACGGGACATAGCGGGACCATTGGAGGAGGAGATGGTTGTATGGGATGCTAAGGTTATCACCGAGACCCAGCAACAGAACAGACACTAGTTTTCCCTTGTCTCTAGAGTCCTCCAGTGTTTCAGGTTGCGATTGTTGTTAGTGTGTGAAACACTGAACTGCTCCTTGTGCCGTGTAGTCACCATTTTACTCAGAGCCTTGGCGGGCCCCACACATGCATAAGTCCCCTTAAAGAAAGGAAATAGTTTGCCTTCCACTAAGTGTGGGCTAGCTGCAGACTCTGTTCCCATTTTGCAACAGGCCGGGACAAACCCGTCAGCAAACAGTAATGAAGGAAAACAAAGCGCTTAATAGAGAGGGGACAGATGCTCTGACGTCTTCTGCTCTCTGTAACCCGGCCACAATTGGCCTTGTGTTGGGAAGAGCTCCCTTTAGGAGACACAGGGACATCTAGTGTCATAAAGAGCCCACATCCAGGCAGAGAGCAGGGCACCACCCCACACTCAACAAACCCAGCGACCTTTTCAGCCAGTTCTTTGTGAAGAAAGAATGGACTGACTCAGCCTGACCGTCACTTCATAGTTCCAGGCTGGGAGGTTCAGGCTTTTCACTTTATTACCCCCAGACTACTTCCATTGCTACTGAACGCTCCCATCCTGCACACGCAGCCGCTAATGTACACAGACTAATATCGGTGACCGTGTGAAGTGTAATGACATCGAACGCATTTTACCTTTCTCCACTGCTTCTAACCTTCTTCCCCCGTTTCCCCCACCCATAAATACAGAGACTCAACTGCTTTGGCAGCCTTAGATTGAAATGAAAATGTAAAGTCAGCATTTAAGCCAAAATAAACTTTGTAAATGTCCCAGGTGTAGGCAGTAGGTTTGAATTCTGAGGTGAAATTGAGAGATCATGTATGCCTTGAAATTTCCCGGTACTGTACCGCCCTTTTTGTTCTGCCCCACGGTGGTTGTGAAAAGTTTCTTCCAGCGTCTGATCACAATTGCTCCTTCTTAAACTGTCAACAAGGAAATACGTTTATTTCCAGTGGTCACCAGCCTATGCATGTTTTATGGGGATGAA